TCTCAATTCACCTGTCTCCAAGTTTGCTGATTCTTTCTTCTGCCTGCTTGTATCTGATGTTGAGCCCCTCTACTGAATTTGTTGTTTCTGTTATTGTACTTTTCAACTCTAGAATGTCTATTTGGTTCTGGCTTTGTTTTATAAATTCTACCTCTTTATTGATATTCTCTATTTGGTAAGATGTCATTCTCATAATTTCCTTCATTTCTTTGGACACGGTTTGTTTTAGTTCCTTGAACATATTTAAGATCTCAAATTTAAAGTCTTTGTCTAATAAGTCCAACATTTGGACTTCTTCAGGGGCAATACTTATTGACTGCTTTATCTCCTGTGAATGGAACATATTTTTTATTTCTTTGCATGTCTCTTTTTTGTTGTTGTTGAAAAGTGAGCATCTTAAATAATATAATATGGCAACCCTAGAGATCAGATTATTGCCCCACCCCCAGGGTTTATTGTTTAGTGATTTTTCAGAACCAGATCTGTAAACTCTGCGTTTATTGTCATATGGGGGCACTGAAGTCTCTGCTTGGTTATAGCTTAATGCTCAGCTAATGAGTGAACAAATTTTCCTTAAATGGCTGGAACCAGTAACTCTCCAAGTCATTGCAGAGGGGCTCTGTGTACCTGCTGGGGTGCACCTTTGGTACTCACCTGGCATTTGACAGCTCTGCCTTAGCCTTCACTTCCTGCTTGCACAGAGCCTCAAAGTTAGACAGAGGTGAGAGCTTAGGGTCCTCTCAGGTATTTCATGAGAGTACTCCCAGCCCTGGGAATGCATGTGGACTGATACATCCCCAGGATTGTGTCAGAGCTTGTCAGAGTCCTCTGTGCAAAGGACATCTCATTCCCCAGCTTTTCCTTTAAGCTTTTTGGTTAGTCTATTGTTTTCCTCCACTCTTACCCATCACTTCAGGCAGCTGTGATATTAGCAATTGCTGATGTTTGTTTTTGACAGACGCCCCAGAGGAAAAGGCTATTTGTACTTGGTAAGCTGCAAGTCAAGTCAACAACAACAACAAAAAAAGACTCTTGTATGTTAGCTATATTTTAATAATTGTTTTTTAATGAATGGAAAAAAAGAAAAGACTCGTAAGTGGGGTCTTCCAGGAAACCATCAGACAGGTCAAATAATGACAGTTCTTTCAAAATGGGGTTTTAAAGGAGCTCCATCACCAATGTATGCCATACAGTGGCTGCCAGACTGCTGTTTTTATACTATGAATGTAGGCTGTTGGTCTTCATGACTACCACAGAGCTGGGAAAGATGGAAATCAAGTAAGTTAAAAATGCCACAAAGCTCACTGTTCTTACAGAATTCAGCCACTTTTCTTCAATAAACACTTCCTGGATTGCTGCAAACTTTTAGTTAATTTCTAGAATTCTGAAAAAGTTAATTCTGACAAATCTTGCTAGTGTTGTCATTGCTTTTAGGGAGGAGAGGATTTTGGGAGGTCCTTACTTTGCTATTCCCACTGTCACATTATTCTTGTATGTACAGTCTTTTGGTGAAATGTTTATTTATGTGTACGACATAAATGGATTTTTAAAAATCTCAATTGGAAAGTTTTGTCTTTTATTAGAAACTATTTGGATGTATTGTGCTCATAGATATATTAAATCTTAGCCCTACTACTTCAATTTACCTTTCTATTTAATATGTTTTCTTATTTTGTTTCTTTTTCAATTTTTTAGACTTATCTTTATTCCTCTCTTCCCTTAAATAGTTTGAAGTTCTGCTTGTTCTTCCTGTTTTACTATAAGTGACTGAAAACATACATATTAAAATATCTAAACATATATTTTTCTATCAAAATAAAAACTAAATAGTATAATAAATATATAAAATTAGATTTTAAAACAATGTTTGAAACAACCCAAAATATCACTTAAGTTGTTACAGTGTACTTTGGTGTCTCTGATTTGGGAAGAAGATTTGAGGTAACCTTAATCATTGCTGTTATTTATCGAGTGGGTGCTATGCACCAAACAGGATATGTACCTTTGACTTGTTAGTTATTTAATCTTCACAGCTCTGTAAGAACTCTTTATATATATATATATATATATATATATATATATATATATATATATATATGTTTAAACAAACTCAGAGAATTTATATAAAGTGTCCAAAGTCACACAGATTATAGGTAATAATATCATGATTCGAGCTTGGGTGTGCCGAATACCAGAGCCAAGGCTACACTGCTTCTCAAATGCTTGTCTCTTTACATAAGGGTGAAAATGTAGAGCATGGTTAGTTGGTAAGGGTATGCATGTTTGTGAGAACAGGTTAGAGAGTTGTTTTTCTCAGTATTTCTCATCAGACAAAAATTTAAATATAAAGGAAGAAAATAAAATATAATGATAGATGAAGTCTAGTAGAAACATGCTAAAGGGTAGCCTGGAAGAAAGGGACAGTTGGGGGAGTATGTGAAGGAAGTCAAAAAGACAGAGCAAGTCAACCTGTTTTGACTCAAGAGAACAGATGAGCCGTGAGCAAAAACAAAAGGGGCCATTGGGTAGGTGTCATCAGTTATAGGGCAAGTAACTGGAATTTGATCAATCGACAAGAATTTATTTACTGGACTCCTGGGCACTGTGGAAGATACAAAAGAATGTAGCGTTATTTTGGGAATCATAATGATGTAGACAAGACAGATGGTATGAACTGGGGCATCAGTGCTGAAGGAAAAAGCTACAAGACAGAAGGCAAAAAGAAATAGTTTAAGGCCATCCCCATGTGAGCCAGCTTGCATGTCAATCTGGAATTGTTGTGGGAATAAAAAGATATAGAGGAAACACTGTAGTTGCTATTGAATCAAAGACAAAGGATTTGTAGGTTGAAAGAGAAAGATGCCATATCACCTACTTTTCCATTTCTGCTTTTGTGTAAATTAAAAGATTACTAAAGATTTATGAAAACACATCCACACTACAGACAGTGCTTTACATCATTCTCCCAAATGTAAATATGGCCACTTAGGTAAGACTGAATAGGGCCTGATGGACATGACTAGTACTCAATAGTCTGACCACCTTGGAAGGCACTAGAAAGTCTTTTTTGTGTTGGAGGAAATTGTAAGCAAGACTTAAAAGGTACCTAAAGACATTCAACAATGTAATAAAGATGGATCTCCATATGAGTCAGATTTAGCTGGTGCTTGTGGACATGGAACCCAATTCAGAGGCATGAGGAGGAAATTAGCTTTCTGGATTGCTCCTTAATCTGTTATATGTAATAGATTCTCATATATGCATTCATTTATTCTAAAGTATTTATTATCGTCTAAAACAAAAAATGAATGCTGCCATGAGCTACCCTGTACTTGATGATCTTTACATGCGTTATGTCATCAAGTCTTCCAATCATAACATGTAAGTGTTATTATCCTCATTTTATAAATGAGAAAAATGAGATTCAGACATGTTAAGTAATTTGCCTAAGACCACATAACAAAAAAAGTCAGTAGGTGAAAAGGTTCATATTCTAATCTGTGTTGTATTTCTTTTACCCTGAAGAAGGCACATTTTAGGTGCTAGGTATAAAAAAATTAATACTTGGCAGTCCTTGCCCTGGAGAAGCATAAAGACACTGGGAGGCAGTTGTAATCCAATAAAATATTTGCTATAACAGGCATATACTAATGAATGAGTGGAGAAATACATACATCTGTCTGGGGATGTCAGAGACCATGTGAGCCTAGACTTTAAGGATCAGCACTCATTTCTTAGGTGATGAAGATACAGATGGAATTCCAATACATGCAGAGCAGTGCATAGCAAGACCCGGATGTAGGAAAAGCTTCCTCTCTAGGAAACCCTAAGGAGATCAGAACGACTGACACATGAAATGTAGAGGTACAGTAGGAGATGAGGCTGGAGAGGTGAGTACTTGTATGCGAGGGTAAAGAATTTAGATTTTATCCTGTAGGAATTGGGGAATCATTAAGTCAGCCCTGTGAAGAGTTTGGTCAATAAAAAAGGTTCTACATGATATTACATCATGGGGTCTATAAGGCTGTACAAATTCAAGGACTGGAGATGACCTAACGATCACAGCTAAGTAGCAATGGCAGCATTACACATGGAAGATTCCCTTGGAGATTTGAGGGGAGATGGCAGGAAGGCGGTAGCATGCTCTGCACCAGGGTTGGAGACATTTTGCACATAACTGCCTTGGCCACTTACTTCATTCATGCATTTGTTCATCCACTATATGTGTGCATGCCAGGCAGCTATAGCTTTGGGAGCATTGATGCTTAAGTAGTAGTACCCACCTTAATGGTGGATGGCTTTTGAAATGGCATGGCTAATCTCCTGGAAACTGACTTCGGGTATGACCTTGGGACCTGTTTAGAGATCTGTGGAACAGCAGTCAAGTAGTATTTAGAAAATGCCAGTAGTGAGTGCCCTGAAGGACCCTATTTGGAGTATTGAGTGAGCAGGGATGTGCCCATGGGTATAAATTCCCCAAACCTCTGGGCACCGGGTAGTAGTTCACCAAATCTCAGAAAACAGTCACAATTGAACACCTCGGGAGATCTGCAAGGCACTCCCACATTCTCTTATATACCCAACAGAGGGCAGCATCTAGAAGGAGGTAAGTAGAAAAATGCCAATTACATATACCCAAGAGGAAATGAACAGACTCTCAGGGTTATAGAATGGAGATGCTTCCTCCCAGTCAGACAGAGACCTAAAGACTTCGAGTAGAGGCTCATGTCATCTATATGTTTGTATGTAAACGTATATGTTAATTTAGTAAATGGAGGTTGTTCATTTCATTTCTGCCACTAATTAGCTCTGTGGCCTTAAACAAGCTTCTTCCTTTCCCTGGGTTTCAGCTTTCTCATCTATGACGTGAAGAAGCTAAGGTCCCTTCCAGCTGTAATATTTTATTGGGATTCCAGAGGGTCACTGGAGATGATAAGATTCTGTGTCAACTTATAATTTTGTTGTGTAAATGATACAACATCAGATTTTCCTCCTCTTAGGAACTGCCGTGTGAAAATGACCCAACAAATGCAGAATTTACATCTTTCTCAGTCAAAAAAACATAGCGCCCCATCTTCTCCCAATGCTGCCAAACGTCTGTACAGGAACCTCTCTGAGAAACTGAAGGGGAGCCATTCTTCATTTGATGAGGCCTATTTCAGAATAAGAACTGACCGGCTGAGTCTCAGAAAGACCTCGGTGGTAATAACACTTTTTATTCTTATCTCAGTTTGATTTGTGTGGTTGTGTTTGGATTTAAGGAGATTCTCAGATGATTGAAGTTCACTTCAGAACCTGACATTCGTAATTTTATAAATGCGGAAGTCAGGTAAGACAGGAACTACACATACCTGTGTTGTTGGCTGAAGTTTGAGCGATTGTGAGATTTTTGCTGAATTTCTTTCTCTTTCTTTTCCTTTAGCTTGTCTTTCTCTAATAGACCAAAGGAATCAAAACATAGCAGTTTGACAAATATGGAGTATGGCATTAAATAGGCTTTCTGAGAGCTCCAGTGTTCATTCAGATATTGAATGAACAATTAACCGTATTTTATTTGTTTATAATGTGTACTCCATATGCTTTCCAAAGCCATTCAAGACAGAATCCAAGCCCGAAATGCGTATGTACTCATATTACACAATGAGAAATAAATAAAGAGATAGAGATAGAAATAGAGGGAGAAAGCAGCTGAGAAAGGGAGGAGGATGGGGAGGAAGGGAGGGAGGAAGAAAGGAACAGAGAAAAGAAAAAAGAAAGGGAGAGGAGAGGGGAAGAGGGAGGGAGGGAGGGAGGGAGAGAAAAACAACAACAACAAAAAAATATGTATATATAGAAATAATGGGGATGGAAAGAAAAATAGACATACTCAAAACCTAGGCAAATATAGTACCTAAAATTTATCATTACATTTATCTGAGTTCCTAGTCAGTCAGAACAGGAAGGGAAACATAATGGGTTATAGCATCCCATTAGCTGATAGCTGAAAGTGTATCGGTCTGTAAGGAGAAATGAATATTTTTCTGTTACTACATCCTGTGGCCTTTATAAGATGTCATAATAAATGATGTAATAGAATTAAGAATGGTATTGGTGATGTGACAAACATTCTCATAAGGTAGTTTCTTATATTGGCCCTCAGTACATGCTGAGGACATAATATTAGCATGCTCAGGAAGGGTATTTCTTCAGGGAGTAATGGCACCATTTGTTTGAGCTTAAAACAGAAATGAGCCCAGCCTTTTCAGATAGAAGCATACTAGTGTATGCCAACCAAAGCATGGAGGAGGAAATGACTTAAGAGTGAGAGCAAATATGGCACAAGAAAAATGAGACATACTGAGAATCACAAACAAATACACAACTGTGGTCAGGGCTGCATTTTAACTCTGCACTCATTTGTTTTCTCATTTCCAGCTCATCTTCTGAGAGGGCTTGGTTGTGGCTGAGTTATGGCCTAAACATCAGAGGCTCTTCAGTTTGGCAGATTGTCGACAAAACACTTTTCCATTCAGCAGATCGTCCTGTAGCAAAGAGAGCCGCATACCAAAATAACTCTAGTCCCTGGGTCCTGATTGTCAAAACAAACATTTGCATAATAGCTTTGTATTTTCTTCAATTTTAAATCGTGTGTTATGTACTCAGCTAAGCCAACCTGCAGTCTTTGCTGGGGAAAATCGATTTTTGAGGAGACTAAAGGTAAAACCTGCCAACCTAAATATTTGGTCACTGAAGACCTTCCACATTTTAATCAGGTGATTCCTATGCTAAGTCAGGACCAATGGCATTTCGACATTTTTAAAGACCAAGCAACCCTTGGAGAAGATAGACGTGTAAATAGTATATGTGTTGCTCTTTTCCCATGAGCTACAGAAATAACTTTTCTCCTTTGTTTACTATTAATCCTCTGAATGAACTTTTCAAAGGATCCATGTTCTCTTTATGGGTATTGTCTTTATGAATATTCAACTTTTGGTCCTTCGTGATCCCCAGTCAATCTGCCACCCAGCCACAGAAACCCTCCTTGGACACTGCCTCTTAAACCGCTCACCTGAGGGCTTAGAAAGGCCCGGTGTTCAGTAGTCAGGACTCTGGGCTGAGAAAGAGTAGAGGTTAGTACAAAGGAGTCTATGAGCCGGGGAGTCAGCCTGCAGGCAATGTGGAGCTCTTAGAGATTTGTAAATAGAGAAGTGACATGTAATGCAAATTTTAGAAAGATTGCTCTCATATCAGTATGGAGCATGGGCTGGAGGAGAATAAGGCTAGCAATTGTCAGGTCCTTGCCATGGTCCAGGCAAGGGATGATAATGGTCTGAGCAATAGGAGAGACATGGGGGTGGAAAAGGAGGGCGTGAGATTGAGACAGAAAAAGGGTACCCTCAATTCCAAGCAAGTCACAATGTAAACCATCCATGCTGTGTTATCTCTGCTAGCATTTCCCAAATTGTATTCTGTAGAACACTATTCAAGGGTAGTTAAAACAAATGCAGTTAAGGGCCGGCCGAGTGGCTCAGTTGGTTAAGAGCTCACTCAAGAGTTTGAGCTCTGAGCAACAGCGGTTTGATGCCTGGCCCGAGCTGAGCTGCCACTAAGCTGCCAATAGGTAGCAGGATGGCTCAGCTAAAAAAAAACAAAAACAAAAAAACAAATGCAGTTAAAAATAGGTTCTATGAACAAATATTTGAAACAGGTCATATTTCCCACCAATTGTAGAATCACAATTGCATGTTAAAATTATTAAAGGCCCTGAGAGGTCTTAGAGTAAAGTAATGGAGTCACTTAGCTTAATCCAATGCCTACCAAATGTATTTGACCACGTGCTACTTTCCACATAGAACACCTCCTATTGAGCAGTATTCCACGAAGACTGGTTTGAAAAAAGCTGATATTTGCTCTTATCTATAGACTAGCCACGCTCTACTGTAGTGTCTCAGTGCATCTAAATGTACACATCTGTTCAGTGTCCATTAGAAGTGATGGAAGGAGGGTCCAGCACAGTGCTGACTTTGGAGACTTTGGGATGCATTGCAGTTATACCACCTCTAAGTGGGAAAGCAGTCACAGAAGCAGTGTCTCAAATTCAAGACAGCTAAGCTGCAAAGACACACCAGTCTATGCACTGTGCTAACCTACTTTTGTTCTTCTCTAGAACTTCCAGGGCAATGAAGCCATGTTTGAAGCAGTTGAACAGCAGGACATGGACACCGTGCAGATCCTTCTGTGTCAGTACACACCAGAAGAACTAGATCTCAACACGCCTAACAGTGAGGGGTTGACGCCTCTGGATATTGCCATCATGACCAACAATGTACCCATTGCCAGGATCCTTCTGAGGATGGGGGCCAGAGAAAGTCCACACTGTAAGTAAAGTTGAGAACAAAAACATGTAGTGTTTAGGCTGCACCCTAGCTTTATGTCACCAAAATAGCCATAGCTGACCTGTGGGGCATGAATAGTTGACTAAGCACAGGCTCAGAAATCCTTTACATGTTTTTATGGGCTTTCATGCAAATAGTGATAGTGCTTATCATTCTAAACATGAAGTTACATTCTAAATAGAATATACTGAATGGTATTGAAAAGGAACCTCAAAGGAACATCCTTCTAAGAATGTAACCCAATGTGAAATATTCCAAGAGAGGCTATCCAATAGGAAGTATACAGAGAGAAAGAGTAAGTATGTGTGTGTTAGTGTCTTTGTGTCCATCGTCAATATAATGGCCTCATTCATTCATTCATTGACTCACTCAACAAACCGTGAGGACAGGGCACTGTTCTGGGTACTAAGAGTACAATGGTGAGCAAGACACAATCTCTATTCTCGTAGAACTTATATACTAGCTGAGGAAACTCCCAGTAAGCAAGTAAGTAAAATAGAAACTCAAATAGTGATCGATACTATGAAGAAAATGAACGCATGGCTAGCGATTGGTGGAATGGGAGCGATTTTAAATAGGGCTGAGCAAGAAAAGTCTCTCTGATGGGATGACATTTGGGCCTCATCCTAGACGACATCAAGGAATGAGACCCGAGATGATACGGGGTCACATTCTAGGCAGAGTGAGGCAGGAATAAGGATGCCTTATCTGAAGAACAAGAAGGTCGGTGTGGCTAACGCAAAATGGACAAAGGGAGATTGATCCCTGAGGAAGAAGTCTCCAGGACCTGATCATTCTGGATCCGGCAGGCCAGTAAGACGCTTCACTTCGATTGTCAGTGTGACGGGGAGGCAGTGGAGCAGTTCAAGCAGGTGCATGACACACTCTGCTTTACATTTGAAAAGATCACCACAGTGCTCTGTGGAGAATAGGCAGGGATGGGGCAATTGGGAAATGGGGAAAACCAGTTAGGAGCCTATTTTAGTGGTCCGGAAGACAGACGCCATTCCTTGGACTAATGTGGCAGGGACACTGACGGTGAGCAAGGGTAGAGTTCTGGATGTATTTCTGAACAGCTTTATTGAGATCAAAGTCACCCATCATAACAATTCACCCACTTAACTCGTACAATTCAGTGGTCTTTAGTATATGCACAGAATTGTGAATCCATCACCACAATTTTAGACCATGGTCATCACCACAAAGGAAGTCCCATACCCCTTAGCTATTACGCCAACCTCCCCAACTGCATCCAACTCCGGGCAACCACTAATCTACATTCTGTTCCTATATATTTGTCTGTTCTGGACATTTCGTATAAATGGAATCATGTAGCAGATGGTCTTTTGTGATTGGCTTCTTTCTGGGTGTATTTGGAAGTAGAGCTGAGAGAACTGGCCAAAGGGAGCTACTCTGGGGCCGCTGGCAGACCCCGCCCAGGAGAGGACGGGATAAAATCGCACAAGCCTTACCCTGTGCCAGGCACTGTTCTCAGCACTCTACGTGTAGTCACCCCCTTAATCGTCACAGCAACATTCTGAGGTAGACTCTCACATTCCCCATGGTACAAACCTCTCTGATCCAATGACCACACTGGCTCTGAGCCACAGTTTTTATGTTTCCTAAAAGAAAAAAGTAAACTCATCAAACTGTTAGTTTCACTAATACTGATTCACTTACTTCCAAGTGCTGAGACCCAGAAGGCTGAAAGAGAAGCAAGCAAGCATGTAATTAGAGGTCGCATCTCTGCTCCTGAAATTCATAACCCCCCAGCCACCCAAAGACGAGGTACAGAGGCAGATCCTTGTATCAGCAAACTCTTTATTTTAAAAATGCTAAGCTCACCACATCCCTGTCAAAGAGAGTGAGGATTTGGGTTTCAGCAGGATTGGGACTTTTCAGTAAGAGCCCCGTCATCAAAGTGCCGCTGCTTTTCAGTGGAACTGGAGGATGTGCAGGGATGGGCAGATCAGGATGGAAGATATCGAAAAGGCGGATTTGCTACCTCCCATTTGTGTTGCAGTGGTGTCTGTCCCAGAGATCCAGTGAGAGAGCAGTGGAGAATCAGAGGGTCTGAGCATAGAGAATGCAGACTGAGCTCCATTCTATAGGAACAAGGAGACCATTCATCCAGATGTTGCCTGCTCTGAGCTGGATGAAACACTAGTTCTACTTACCTGAGCGGCTACAAAGAATTCTCCATTTTCTGTGAAACCAGTAAGACTCCCAATTTCCCCAAGCCCCTTTGTGTATAATTAAATTGCCATAAAAGAACCCAAGCACTAAATGTCTAGTTAAACTAAAAGCAAATTTGTTCAAAAGATCCCTGGTTTTTCTCACTCCATCTAAGACGAGAACCACAATTATCCTCATAAAGTTGTAAAGGAGGGTGAGAGATACACCCAGGTTTTAGCCTCTGGGAAATATGACATCTAAGTCACGTTGGCCACCCAACAAGTCAAAGAGATAGGACTGGATAGACGCCCACGTGTGCAAAAAAGGCAAAGGCGTATTGATTGTGTACCTATGAAGTCCCCACATATGTTATCTCCGGTTTTCATACTAGCCCTTCAGGATGGTATTATTAACTCCATCTCAAAGAGGAATTTTCGATTCCAAGAGACTAAGTGACTGACCAAAGGCCACACATCTGAGCAAATGAAGAGGGATGCCAAGAACTCAAGCCCAAGTCTGCGGGACACCAATGCCGGGACCCTTCTGTGCAAACTTACTGCCTTTCCCAACAACCAGCATGGAGGGCCGTGGCCACCGGGCCCTGCATCTGTCCCTTTGTGTTGCTCGCTACAATCCTATGGTGCCATTCCTGTTGGAGAGAAACAGGACAGGCGATTTCAGGGATTTTTAATTCACTTTATATTTCAAGTACAAAAGAAAGAGAATTGCTTCTGTGCATGAGTGTGAGCCAGCCCATGAGAAAACCCAGTCTGCCAGCCAGAACCAGATTACCAAACACCTGCTACAAAATTGTTCCCCAGAAGCTGCAGGAGCAGGGAATAAGGGGGGGGAAAAATGAGGTCTTAAGTTCGCAGAGTGTTTTACACATTGCAAAAATGCTTTTGCTTTCATCATCTCATTTGATCCTCACAACTGGCTTGTGAGACGGGAGTCAGTTTCCTCATTTGAGGAAACTGGAATAAGAAAAGTCAAATACTTCACCCAGTGCTGCAAAGCAAAGAAGTGGTGGAGGAATGATTTGAACCTCGATCTTCCATAGTAAATTCTTTGGCATTTGTGGGGAAACATTAACACACTTACTATCACACCATAAATGTTCGATTCCTTCCTCTTCTGACTCTCCATCTGCTCCTTTTCTAATACCTGTCGAGTATTTCAAAGCTGAGTGCAGGTGTCTGATAGGGTTCCTTTTCTGTCTTCCCTTCCCTGACTGTTCCATTCTGAATATTAGCCCAGTGCTCTTTCCACTACGCCAACCAAAGATCCCAACACAATGCAGAAGAACAGCCTCTGTAATTCTCCCCATTTCATAACAGGAAACAGGACACAGATGAGTTGAGGGACTTAACTCCTAAGCCATTGGTCAGACCTGTCCTCCAGCCTTCAGCCTCTCTCATAGAACTATATGGAGGTGTTCTTTCTAAACATGGCTTAAAAGTTAACCATGTACGTTTCCTTATTCACGAAGTGGCCACCCAAACTTGTACACTGCCCCAAGGTTAAATATATACGGAACTCCAACCTGCTTACTAGATGAATCTACCGTCTTTACTCAGCGACTTTTTTTCTGTTCCTCCCACTTTTAGGCAAGCAGCCCAAAGTAACACTCATTCCTTCTAGAGCAGCGGTTCTCAACCTGTGGGTCGCGACCCCTTTGGGGGTCGAACGACCCTTTCACAGGGGTCACCTAAGACCATTGGAAAACAAAAAGATATTTACATTACGATTCATAACAGTAGCAAAATTACAGTTATAGAGTAGCAAAGAAAATAATTTTATGGTTGGGGGTCACCACAACATGAGGAACTGTATTAAGGGGTTGCGGCATTAGGAAGGTTGAGAACCGCTGTTCTAGAAGAAAACATCTGTCATTATTAAAGTAGAATCCCAAGTACCTCCTCTCAGACTGGCCGTGCTTTCAGGAAACAGGCACAGAATCTGAAAGGACTGGAGTTAGGAGAGCTAATGTACAGAGGCACCTCACGACACCTGGGGGCTATGCCTTTGTTTCGTCCATTCAGTATCCCAGTCACCGTGACTCATGCCCAATTAAACAGCTGCTATCTGAGAAAGAGTTGTCACAGTATGGGAAAGTCCCCAGTCATAAACCCCTCCCTTCTTCTTTCTGACTAACTCATATCCTGCCCCCACCTCAAGTCACAGTTCAACCGTCTCCAGCAGGAATTTGCTGAATCATCAATGAGGTCCTTTTGCCTTTCTGAGGCTGCTATTTATTTGGCATCGTTTAGGCTCTGTAAACAGTAACCATAAAGGAGCTAGTTCTTTTTGGATACCTACCATGTGCAAATCTGGTCACTCACATGGATTTTTGTCCTGTCTTTTAATGCCAGTGTCTGGAACACAGTAGGTGCTCAGAAATTTTCCGTTGTAATCTTAAGCCCTGTCTCAGCTGCTGGATATTACAGGTATCGAATCTTAGCACATAGACACACGTACATTGTGTGTAGTGCATGCATGGTATATGGGAAAAAATGCTTTAAGTCTCTCAGTAATTTCTACTTCGGCGTACCTTCTGTTACGTTGCCATTGTGATTTTCCAGGAGCTGTCGTAGAACTTGGTTGTAGATATAGCCTGAGTGTTTTTATTTTTACGCTGTTTAATAGTGTGGAGTGAGAACGGTGGAATGCTCCTCCCTTTTAGTCTTTCTGCCCTTTCCTAGAGCAGTGTTCTCCCTTCTCTCCAGACCCTCGCCTCTCTGTCTGCATTTTTCTGTGAACTCCTCTCTCGCCTTCTCTTGGGTACTACCTATGGAACTAGGAAATGT